ACTGTTACAGCGATGAGATACAGTGGGATACGTATAGTAGGCAAATAAACATGTTTCAGACATGAATTGTTTACAGAGTCGTAACAGAACTGTGCATTTGCAGCCATCCCGGTTTGAGAGAAGTTCATGTTGGGTAGTCGAGGCAAAGTGTGAAAAGTCTCTTCCTGGAGAAAGACAAAAAATCATGCAATTGATAATTTCAATAACACAATTTCAAGTTTTCTTAACTTTTTCTTAATTAGAGGTATCATTTTTATACCAAAAAGCACAACTGTCTTTAGCACTAAAACCTGAGACACTTGATAAATAACTTTGTACTTTTTAAATAGTATATGGATACGTGAAAGCAAATAATTTTTCATGTATTCAACTAAACTGAAGCAGACAAGCATGGCTGTAGTATCCCCTTTCCTCTCCTGTATAATTCTGACAATACAATTTCTTGTAGTAAGCAGAACTAGTTTAGCTTCAGTATCACTGACAAATTATTTATTTTCAATGTCTTTTGTTCTTTAAAAGTGCATGTGGTCATACAGTGTAAAGCCAGAAATGTTTTTATATTGGTTTAATCCATGCTTAATTACAGTCATACTATAATTCCTTTGGTATGTTCTATCAATGGGTGTACGTTACTGGAGCTACTGCATACTGTATCATGTAAAAAACAAAATCAAAAACTAAACAAAAACTAATTTGTTTCTTTAAATCAACAGATTTCTCAATTAGAAATGAAAAACTTTGATAAAATTGTTAAGTGAGTACACGTGTGCCAAAGGAGAAATATGTATGTAGTTTGTGCAAAACATATTAATATGACTAGTAAAGCTTAAGATATTATATTGTATTACTAAAGGTGAAGTTGAATACAAAGTACATATTACTGTATGTTGATATAGTTACAAAACATTTATAATAATAGGAAATAAAAGCAATGAGGAAAGCTTCAAAATATAAAAATAAAAATAACCACAAGATGCCCATCAGGCTTAAGGTTTCAAAAACATCCAAAGATAGTAATTTCTACAAAACTGTCTGTTCACTATCTAATCATTTATATATTTTTAATCTTCATTTATTGAGACTATTTCAATGGAAAGCTAAAAAAAGATTTAAAATTTAATACAGTAAAACAGGATGTTTAATTATTGTTGAATTAAACTGTTCCAGTAAAATCACTATAAAATAGTAATTTGTTTTTTAAATGATAAGATGCATTTACTGTTTTCACAAGCTTACCTTGCTCGGATGTTTAGTGGCAACATGTCCAGCAACTTTGTAGAGGCGTTTTTATACATTAATTATCTGCCAAAGGCCCAATGGCTCTGCTACTGCTGTTCTGGCTCTCATTAATTGCTGACAAGACATTTCATCATTATTTTACCTTATGGAGCTTATGTATTCCCCATTGGCCAGAAAACCAATGAACTGGAGATTATACAGTACATTACCCCCCAAAAAACTAAAGCTTAGTAGTAATTACCTTCTAACACATTTTTTATTCCATACTGTATATACATGATAGATAATGCATATTCTATATTCTGCAAATGCATTCTGCAATTTCCCTCACAGGATTAATAAAGTATCTATATACATATTTCATTTTGTTTAAAAAGGTGCAGTGTGGGTAACTTTACTGTATGTAAACAGAACTTGATTAACTGCATGATAAGGTAAAATGTTTTTAAGATTAAGTGGTAATTATTGAGTAAAACATCTCTTTCCAACTTTGAATGAAATGGCGTTGTCCAACATACTATGTAAATATTGTCTTCACTGTTTATCACGGATGCTTCCTATAGAAGAGTTTTTCTGATGATTTGTCCTGTGGACAGCAGGTGACCAATAGAGAGACTGTTGTGGTAAATTACTTTTTCCGAAGAGCAGGACCCCTGTTTATGGTTTACTCTGTTCATATCCCTCCTTTAACACTTGCAGCTGAATTATTGCAGCTGTTGGTAGCAATCTGAGTTAACAGAGCTCAACAATTACTCTAATTACCACCACAATAAGGTTGAGTGGTTTTATTGCAGGTTTTATTGAGTATGGATAATATAATGTACTGTACCACTTCAGGGACAGTAGTTCACTTTGACTGGATAGGTTCTCTAAGACAGTACTAACTAAGAAGATCATTTTCCCAGTAAGCTTCTAAGTAAACCATATACAATGAGTTTGAATTTTATTGTTTACAACCATGGCGTAATTGTATCTTGATTTGGCATTGGAATGTACTTACAAACTAACTAACTTTACAAAAGAGCAGAAATATTTTTATATGGGATATATCTGTATTTACATACTGTATACATT